ATAATAATATGCTTGTTTTTATACTTGCTACATAGCCTTCCTTTGTCCTCTGTTTATGGTAATTTTTATAGACATTACAGTGGGTTAGGTAGACCCTCTGATTTGCTTCACTATGGCTGCTGTTAGGCTCTTTCATTCCTATAGTAAAAATATCATGGGCTTCAATAATCATGTACCCACTTTAAATAAAACTATAGAGTCACTTTTCCACACAGTATATTTCAATTAAACTGTGGGACTCACCAGCATCTTGTGAAAGGTCCAAAGTATTTATCTGTAAACTAATGGAAGGCAGTCCTAACTAATTTCTCTCTCTAGTATTTTTCCTCTGATCCTGAACAGCAATCATTATATCCTAAGAGAAATCAGGAGTGCAATTTGTGAGAGATTTTCAAGGACACTTCTCAAAAAGTTCAAAATCTGGACAGTAACTGAGCCAATATGATAAAGATTAATTTTACAGAAGACAAAGACGGAATCATTCATGTGAAAGAAGTATGTATGAGAAAAGAAGCTCAGAGTGCAAGATGAATTAATTGAGAAGAAATGTAAACCAGGCCACTTCCATGTAACCCTCCTCCCAGGAGTCCAACTATCTGTGATTCCAGACCTACTTTCAGTACAGCGCAGCTTGCAACTGTTCTCAGTTTCCTTCTGAGAAAATTGCTAGGGTGTGAGAGGGAGCTGTGAGGGAGTGCATAGGCTGGAAGCATTCGAGATAAGAAAGGTAAAGTTGCAGACACAAGTAAGATTGTTGAGACAGGAAAACTGGCACCTCAAGGATTCAAGGAACAACACTCACATGAAGAGGTATAAAATCCTATCAAGAAAAAAGAAAGGTAAAGCAGAAGATAGCAGCTCAGCACTACCACAAATCAGCCTGTTCCAGTGAGCCCCAGAGGCCAGCTCTCCCCTTACCTGAGTGATGACTACTTGCCCATTATACTGAGTGACTCATTCGGTGGGGGTTGATTTAATGCCTGGTTCATTAGTCCTACAATATATTGTGTGTTACACGACAAATAACCTGCTTTGTGCTTTTAAGGTGTTTATATCTTGCCTGAAGAATCTCTATGGTAAAAGTTCCCTGAAGAGAGTGAGTCCCACAGGGGGAGGGTTACGTAAGTAATCCAGAATAACAGACAAGAATAATATGATTAGTCATCAAAGCACAGGTGCACAGGTGGGTTAGGGGATTATAGAACATACTGGACTTTTTTTTTCAGCAGAAGATATGTATTTCTGAAAAGTTCCTCATAGCTGCACCATTGAAATAATTATAAATAAATTATATTTGAATCTTGATACAGAATCTGATCTCACTTATGAGCCAAGAAAACTGGGAGACAAAAGCAGAAGTGTGGGTAAAGCCTAATCTAGAAGAAGGCATTCTGAATACTTACAATCCCAGGATAAGAAAATTAGAACAATGCTTCCCAGAAAGTATATCACAGAAGGAAATGGATCTGGGAAAATTCTAAATGATCTAAATGAAAAATTAATTAGTGAAACAAAATCTAAATTTCAAAGTCTGACTTGTTGAGGAAGGACTTAGAATGCTAGTGGGACCTTATAAGAAACAGAAGTGAATAACTTTTAAGATTACTCTACTGATTCAAATGCTTTTAGAAATTCCTGCTTGATTGCGTTTGAAGAAACACATGCTTTATGTACACATAAAAGTTTGAAAGAAACTAGCATGTAAGTCAAATATTACATTACCTTGCTGGAATAATTTGAAATAAATTTGAAGAAGCAATTTGTTTCTTAATGCCAGAGAGCTGGCTGGGGGACCAGAAAAGCTGAGGGAAGATGCACCACCAGTGCCTCAGACATTCTCCCTCTCATATGCTTGGTGCTCTCCTCACAGTGGTTCTAGATGTGCTTACCTAGATGACAATTTACAAGAATAATAAAAGTGTGTTTGAAATAAAGTAAGAACTGTTCTTTTTAGGAAGAGAAGAAGATTCAAAGTTCTGATCATTCCAGTGTCCTATGGGAATAAAGGGTAAATCACGAAGGATAACTTTAATTGCAGAATCATTTAAGTTTTAAAAGACCTTTAGGTTCATTGAGTTCCACCATAAACCTAATACTGTCAGGCCCCACTAAACCATACCTCTAAATACCACACCTACATGTTTTTGAAATATCCCCAGGGATGGTGACTCAGCCCTGGTGACTTTCCTGGGCAGCCTGTTCCAATGCTTGACAACTCTTTCCTTTTAGTGAAGAATTTTTATCTAGCATTCAATATGAGCCTTGAGGCCATTTTCTCTTACTCTTGTTTGTTACTTGGGAGAAGAGACTGACCTTGCTACAGCCTCCTTTCAGGTAGGTGTAGGGTGAAAAGGTCTCCCTGAGCCTCCTTTTCTCAAGGCTGAACAACCCCAGATCCCTCAGCCACCCATCATAGGATGTGTGCTCCACACCCTTCCCCAACTTTCGGGATACACTTCAGAACCTCAACCTGCTTCTTGTAGAGAGGAATCCAAATGGAAGATACTATCTCTAGCATCAGACTTGTTTCTACTCCTTCAGGACCCTTGGTTGATATCCCAATAGCTAAATGGAAAGAATCATCAAATATGAACAAATGGATTCCTTGAACCAAATTAGGTATAGCTTTTATGTCAAATTCAGTGGCTGAAACTGATTAAAACCTGAAATGAAGAAGTTATAATTTCTGTGGCCCTTGATAGATTTTTATTGCATATTAGGCACAACTTAAATTTAAACTTCTAGTTCAATTTACAACTTAAGCATCAAGAGCCACCAAACTAAGGGTGCTCTGAATTATTTTTAGGATTCTGAGTCTGTTTTTTCTCTTATTTTTCAAGTGCCTGGATTTTGACCTACTCAAGTGAAGAGTCCTGTTCCTGACTTAGTGGCTTTGACCTTTATACATTCTTTCACGAAAACTTTCTGCCATAAGCTTTTCTTTGCCATCATCTGAAGAAGTAAGACCTTTGAAATCAATTTCAGACAGCAAGCCTGCTGGTCAGAGCTAAGTATCTCGTTCTGATAGACTGCACAATGCTTCAAACCAATTTCTTATCCATTTCTGAAAGATTCCCCACAATTGAAAGAAAATAGTAATAGTAAATACCTTTCTAAGCTACAGATTTTCTCAGTGAACATAATATCATTACATTGAGCTCCTACCAACTGGGGGGAATCAAATATGCCAGGACTAAAACTGTAATTCTTATAAGGCAAAACTGTTTTATTAACTCTGCTCTTGAACAATATAATTCAAACATATCAGGTGGAAAAAGATATTTATCTCTATAGATTTCTATATCTATGGAAGTAATTATACAACTATTAACCAGCTTCTTCTTGCAACTCATGGCAAAAGGGGGGTCTTTTCCCAAGAACTATGGACCTTCAAATGGAGCATAATGTTAAGCTTTAAAGTTAGAGGGACATAAGGGTTTGGTTTATACTAGCTTTACAGAAATTTATTCCTGTTAACTTCAGTGCAGATACTCCCTTTTTCATCAGCTTATGCAAGTTTGAAATCAAACCACAACCTTTAATGACATTTTAATGATCCACTTGGGGGAGCTAAAGGGTAATTTGTTTTCAAATTGATTGTGGCAAAACGGGATGCAAAATTATAGAAAACAGTAAGAGCAGAATGATCTACTTTTTTCGACTCAGTGATGGTTGATCTATATCAGCTTCTGAGGCAAAGGGTCCCCTGTTCTTATTATAATTCCAGCCATTTAGAGAAAAGAGAATCCCAGTTACAACTAGCTCAGCAGCAGACATCCGTAATGCATCAATCATATCCTGACTTCAATTATGTACCTACAAGATACATTAAATGAGACAGAGTTTGGCCCTTAAACTACATTTTTGTGCTAGTTAACATCAACTGTGACAGTGAGAAAAGAAATTCTAGCATTCAATGGTTTTGTCTTCCAACTCATATGAAATAACTCCTTTTATGACTTTTTTTCTTTTGTTTAGATGCTGGTCCCAGGCTGCACCTGCCTGTGCCTCATGCAGCAGTTACTGTGCTGCAGCAGGGCTTTGCACCATGGTTATGTTTTTTATTTCTCCAGCTTGGGACACAGTGGGAACTGTTTCCTAGCATACAACTACACCAGCTGACTATGGTTACTGGTAGCCCTTGGACTGCTCTGGGACTCACGCACTAATCAGAGGCAGAGATGTAGTATCTCCTACATCTGAGGGAAGAGCAGAGCTTTTTGTCTGTGAAGAATCAATAACATATGATACCAGGCTTTTCTCCAAAGTAGAGGTTGCTCTAAAAGCTCATATAAACTGACACTACAATTTATTTCAGAAGTCACAGCAAAACTACAGTCATCAGTCTTTTATAAGAGAAAACAAGTCACTTTCAGACATGTAACTCACATGAAAATTCCACTGGTCGAGCTGTAGTCAGTGTCTTCACTGTAACATTACAAACTTCACCATAACAGCACAAACTTCCTCTCATTCCAAATTACCCTGCAGTGCAGTCCACATTAAAGTTTATGGTTGCCCATATGTGGTCATTAATTAAACTGAGACATGTAAATGAAGTTTCAAGCAAAAGTGATAATTAAATAAAAAATTGTGTTATCTTAGAATATCTTACTAGCTATAAGGTTTCCTTATTTAATGTCTAATTCAGCTGGAGCATGTGGAAAAAGTAAATTACAAGTATCTCTACAGGATGCACTGTTTTTGGTCACTTTAAAAGCAAAGACATGTGCTTTGTAGCGATAAACTCCCAAAATATATTTTTAAATGTAATTCAGCCTCCTGAAGGCAAACACAATCATGCTGATTGAATACCATGCTAAAGACAATGGTAAAGTAAATGGAAGCAAAAGATACAATCAACCCTGCTACAGGCATGAACAGCACTTGATGACTCTATCTGTGGTGTAAATTGCTGTTCTGCGTTCTCCTTGATGTACAAAGACAAGCAATATATAATGTATTTGGGAGGAACTACTGCTATAAATTTGTCAACTTACATTAATTAATTCAATCTCCCATATTTTTTTCACAAGGTCCATCGATGTATAGCCATTAATTAGAAAGGATTTGGTATAGTCACCCAGTTCAATGGAATCCAGCCATTCAGCTACAGAGGAGGGGTTGTAACCATCGTGACCGATCTGCTTCATCTGAAAAACAAGGATGAGCAAAAATTACTGGTAATACTCATTAAACACCTTTCAGAACAGGAGTTAAATGTATCATTTTCTTTGGGTCAGTTATCTTATTCTCTGATCAACAGTCTTTTAATGGTTAGTACAGCATGAAACAATTTTGTGAGAAAAAGCACTGATAGAACTTAATTTTGATGCATCTTTTTCTTATGAATGCTTGCGTTTTACACCAGAGTATACCAAGACTGTAGTTGGAGTTCAATCCTTGCTAGACATCAGAGAATCCGTAAGTGAGGGAAGACAAGGGTAAAAGACACATCAATATCCTTACTGCCCAAAAAAATCATATTTTCACCTTAGATTTCATAGAAGTGGAAGAAATTAAACTGAGAAATGGTTCTTTTGGTATCATACTGTGAATGAAATATATGGTCTTGGTTGTATTATTCCTAATTTATCTTTTCTACCAGGCTATATGTTTTTTTATACCAGCTGAACCTGCACTATATTTTCCTGTCCCCAGGGAAGGTTTAAAAAAAGTCTCTTTCCTCTACCTGCTCACATTTTTCATGGCACTCCTGGGAATTTAACATGTTTTAGACTGCTCATTGTCAAGTTGCCTGAGATTGGACAACTGAAACAGATATTATGGGAATGGAATTGACAGAATAACGTATACAGAAGTGCAACACTGGCATGTATATAGAAACACAGCCACCTAATGTCATAAATCCTGTTATCATAAAAAAACTAAGAAATACCACTGGCATCTATTTTTTCTGAATTTTGTTAGCTGCCAGGAAGTAAAAGCTGCAATTTCTCTTTCACAACTGTCTCTCAGTGACACAAGCAAAGACATTAAAGGTAGTCATTAAAGCCATTAAAGATAAAAAGGTATAAAGCCCCTACCTGGGCAGTTTGTTATGCCACACTGTTTTAATAAATTTCAAAGTAATCTACAATATTGGCAAAAATAGAAGTAGAATGAGGTATAAAAAATAACCTCAATTTTCATCAGTATTCTGCACATATTGTCTTTGGAAGTGTAACTATTGCTAACTTGATAATACACTGAACAGGTAAATTGTTAAGAAGCTTTAGAGGGCTAGAAATCATGGGTTTTCCATAGGTTCTCCTGACTGTTCCGGGGTGACTGCAAATAGTAAAAGCCAGTCTCCCATTTTTGAATACTAAGATGCATTCCTACTTTCTGAGAAACAATGGAAGTGTGACAGAAACATAACGCTTTGAGCTTAAGTTTGAAGTGAGTGACAAAGTAATTTAAAAAGGAGAGAGTTCTGATCTTAATATCTTGCCTGAACCAATTTATTTCTCACAGTTTATTTGAAATACAATTTAAATTCAGAGCAGAGGAAAAAAAAAAAAGAAGTCTTCATTTGAAAGCTGCAGCAGTGTTTGTCAATCTGTCCATTCAAACGCAGAAAGCCAGCATGTCATGGTCTTGATCTGGGCTTCCTGCAGTGCCAGAGAGGAGTGATGCAGGCACAATGCTATGTGAATATGAGAGTTTGCACATAGACTTCTGCTGCAGATTTTGGGTATAAAATAAGAATTGAAATATTTAAATGATGTAATGAAATCATTATCTTAAATCATAAAGGAAAGACAACAGAAATCACTTGATTAGGCAGTGGAAATCATAGCCTTTCAGGTTACTGCTGTAACGAATCATACTGGAAAGAAGGAGCTCAGTTTTGTTGTTAAACTTGACATTTTGGAATTTCATTTACTTTCATCTTAATTTAGGACAAAATTATTCTATGTCAAAAGCATGGCAATGTCTTCTTTCATTGTCATTCTGACTTCCATTAAATATTAGATTGACAGTAGTCTGTCCAGCAGATTGCAAAATATTGGAGGATCCTGGGAGGTCTGGCTCCTAGAAAACTTATTTCAGCATCCAATTTTAAAAAGGGTATGCTTAGATAGCAGACACTTGAAAAGTGGGAATCCGATAAATGGAAGAAGAAAAATCTAGCATAGAGATGACATGAAGACATACAGGCCCACAGGGAACACATGGGTTTCAGAAAATATAAGGTATTTTTGTTCCCTTTCTCTAACAAAGAAAACTGAAGCACTGTGAAAACAATTTTCAACATATCCAGATAGGGCATGTTATGCAAATTATTTCCTGTGTTTAATACTATTTGAGCTTTACATTTAATAGATTCTGATTTTAAAATGATTTTTTTTTTGCCTCCTGGTTTGAGAAAACCCTCACAATCTGGTCTGTACTCTTGGAAACCCATCAGCCTCTATGAAAAGTAAACACAACATGACAAGTTTCTAAATTCTCAATTCCCACTGGAAATCTCCATCAAAAGAATTGTTGAAATTGATATTCCTCTACTACAGCAGAGTTGCAAAGGCCTGCAGGCAAGCAAACACAGGTGAACAATGCAATAAACAAGAGGCTGAGAACACTGAAATGGATGTGAGAATTTCAGTCCTTGGATTTGGTGCCAATAGATAAAACTGTTATTGGGTCACTCAATAGCCTACATGAAAATACACTGGTCTGTTGTAGTGCAGCAGCTGATTCTGCAAGGATTTTCCCTCTCCCTGTCCCGGAGTTTTGTCTGCTTGTATTCAAGGCCATGCTGCAGGCAGTGCAGCTGCTTAGCCTTGGATCAGATCTGTGTGAGGAAGAGCAGTGAGAAGTCTGGCCAGGGCTTTAGCCAGACCCTCCCTTGTGCAGGAGCTGCATGTGAGATCATATCCATGTCCTGACACTTGCCTGAGCTATGCTGGAGACCACAGCATAGTGTCTGTGTCTATGTTCACATTTGTTCATCCTCAACCACTGACTCATCCTCCAAGGTGGCCTTGTCCTGTCCTCATCCCTGTGAATGTCCCATGGATTTGCCCTGGGATGTGGCTGCTCACAGTCACTGTCACTGTCCCTGCCCTACTCACCTTGTCCCAGTGCCCAGTGCCCCCCATGAGCTCCCAGCCCATCTCCCCTGGCAGGACAGTTGCTACTATCACAAAAAATTAATCTCAGAACTAGAATATTTATTGGTTTCAACACAAAAGCCGTATTTTGTTTTGTCATGAACTGAGAACCACTCTCTTATCTAAAACAGGCTTTCTAAAATGCATCTAAAATGAAAATTAATAAAATTTCAGTATCTGTCCTCTTGTATGGAAAGTCTCTTTCTACCTTTTAATAATACAAACTTTATTAACTGTCATTCATAGTTACCTGAATGCTTTCCTTTCAAATACTTACTAACAGACATATTGGTTATCTAGATGCGACAGTATCATTAATAGTATCTGCTTTTCATAAAAAATGTTATTGAGTTTTTAAATAAAAACACTTTGAAATATCTGTCTGGAAGTGCTGCCTTTTTACTTTGTCAGAGATTCAGTTTAGTTGAATCTTATTCCAGTCTTCATCAACAGGTCCTGGCTATTAGACTGTATCTTTTCTATACTTGGACTCCTCTCACAGATCATTTAAACCCTGTAGGCTTCCTTGCTGATTAATATTTCTTGAAAGAAAAACTCCCTCCTACCTACTGAGCCTATTTCCATGCATATTTCAATCATTTTGCACCAGCTACAACACAGGCACCAGTGGTGTCAAACATCCAACTAAGGTGCACACTGTTTGACTCAGATCAATGTAAAATCTCTGAGCTGCAAGTCATGAGTCTTTCAAATATTAACAGCTCATAAATAGGGGCACTATTGTTCTTCCACAGACAGTACTATCAGTTCATTCAGTTGTTTAGAGAGCAAAACCAATGTTAGCTTTGTCACTGCAGAAGATTTTCATGTGCCAACTGTGAAAAAGGCTAGGAATTGAAGCCCAAAGGATTTAGGGAAAAATAAATGTTTAAGAAAGTATGATTCAAAAAAGCATGGAAGAAGATACAAATCATATGAGATTTTTCTCCTAGGTCCTATTGATGTATCATCAGTATCATTTTTCTTTGAAATGAAGAGAAAGCAGAAGCCAGAAAGAGCTGTTTCTCATAATAAAATAGGAATGTTGAGTAGTAGCCTAATGGGTTGAGAAATCTCTCACACGAGACCGTCTGTCCGGTGATAGACTTTTTAAAAGTATATCACTGCTGTGTCAATAGAGCATTTTACATTAGGATAAAAGGTACCTTTATCCTAGACTTTATCCAGATTTTTTGTCTCTGAAAGTTGGACAAATAAACACAAATAGTAACACTTCAAAGTAAACACATATACACTAGAAACATTAAGGTAAATTCAGTAGCATGGACTGTTACCAGTTTTCTCTGATCTTCAGACAGATGGGGAATTAATACTACATTCTCCAAAGGTAACATCACTATCCAGTGGAGCTTAGTGTGTGTATCAAAATAAAGCTTTCTATGTGCTGTAAAAGGAGGATGAGATTACTTGATTTTACAGCTTTTTAAATGATGACTATGATTACTGTGAATTTATGCTTGGGTTCATTTGGAAGAAAAATCTTTTTAGCAAACATATAGGGTTTTCTTTTACACTGCTGGTCCCTTCAAGAGCTTTAAGCTGCATTTTTGCGAACTTATATGAAACTATCAACTACATAGGTAAGAAATTTTAGGTGGTTGCAATGGGGGACATATCAGTTCTTTTTTGTTTCCTGCCTTTTTCATTGTCTGGTATACATTTTGTATTTTACAAATATGATCAGCTGGAGCCATGTTGTTGGAAGAAGAGATCACTCCTCCTCTGGAGTGTTGAAAGGGAAGGCTCAAAAGAGAGACACTTCTGAAGCCCAGAGAGCCTGGCTGGAACAGGGCACCACATGGAGCCTGCAGTGCCTGCGCAGGAATTGAGCCTGCAGCCAGGGGCCAAGGGGCAGCTTTCACAGGGGACAGGCACAAATTACAGAGGACCTCAGAAGACTTTGCATGTGCTGCTGGTGAGAAAGGCACTGAGTGGAACAGGTCTCCCTGCAGAGACACAGTGGGTGAGGAAGAACTCTACATAACTTTTTTGGGTTTCTATTCCATCTACCCTGT